GCAATATCATTTTGGCAGTGTGAGCTTGCACAATGTGGAAATTAAATGGAAGGGAGCTGGGTGCTTTCAATGTCCAAATTCAGCAGTTCAGTTAGGAAAACTTTTCTTGGAAATAAAAGAACAGGGTCATAAGTGCCGACTGTTTCTTTCCACCGGCTAGAGATTATTTCACGCTTAATCTATCCACTCCAGTGGAAGGTGCAAATGTTTGGTACTTCCTTGCGTTGAGCCTGAAAGATCAAGTCCACCCAAGGCCTCCTTCCATCTGCAAGGCACCCAAAAGCCGTGCACTGGTCCTCACAGGGCCATCAGGCACTGAGTGAACAGTGTCCTGTGAACAAACCTCATGGGTGCTTTGTCGGACTGGCCAGGTCTTTCAGGGATGTGTATTGCCTGAAAAGAAATGCTGATGTTTAGAAATCTTTTAATTTGGATTTGTCTGCCATGTCTTTTCTATAAGCCTATAAAACAGGCTGAGAAGGGGCATGCAAAGATGGTTCTCCATCTTCTTACTTTCTTTCCCCTACCCCCTTCTCTTCTTTGGGGTGTGGTTGTCTGGTTTTGGGGCTACCAGTCTGCTGGCATACTTTAATTCTGCTTTGTCTCAGTTCTTTTTTCACCTTGCTGTTTCACCGCTGTTTTTCTTCCATTCTCACCTGCATGGAGCATGAACCTTACAGATTTTTGAATGAGATTTCCATTCTAGGATGTCCCAGCAGGCTGGAAACAGGGAAATATGTCTTCAATTTGGGTAAGATTTGTCCCATGGTAAGGAATACTACCAGTTGCTCATAGCCTGCTCTGTGTTCAAGTAAGCACATTTGACTACAAAAAATAAAGATCCTGTGCTGGCATAAAATATCATTTTTCTTTGGAAGTCTGGAGAGTACTGAGCCCATGCACTAGTAAAGAAACACCATGCCTTTGACAGGACAGGGGTTGCAGGAAGAGGAAATATCTTTCATTAGCTCAACTGGTATGGTTGGAAAAGTAGCCAGCTTTAGGCAAGAACTCCCATTGAAGTCTTCAACAGAAGCATCTTCTTTCAAAGCTAAATACCAGTCAATGTAATTATTCAGAGTTCAGTCCTTCTGAAAGGCTGCATTATTTATTATTTTAAAGTAGAAGTTCTAAGGCTGAAAAACTTTATATTAAAGCTACAGATTGCTTTATAGATACAGATTTTGTTTAACTACAAATCTTTGGAATTTTCTACATACCAATTCTTAAGATTTGTAGCATATAGATTTTTAATATAGCTGTATAGTTTCTAACAGTAAAATAGCAGTTAACAGTTACTAAACCCCCTTTTCTCATACTTTTTGTCAAATTCTCAAAATTCTTCAAATCTTGTTTAATATAATTTTCAAGGAAAAAGATTTTAATGAGTACATCTTGTCTGGGACATATACCTAGAAGGACTAAATAAGACGTCATTGTAGTCAAAGCAACCTAGAAGGCCTGGAAACCTTGGAGAAGCTCCAAAGGAGGCATGTGATGCTGAAGATGATAATGGTGAAGAAGGAAGGGGTCTTGAGACCTCCTATTCAATTCCAGGGAGGTGTGCCAAGGGGCAGACCTGAGGGGGGGTTCTGGGGCAAGACAATTCTTGGGTTGGATGTATCCATTAGATATGATAATTAATTAGTGTTATAAAATTGTAGGAGCCCTATGCTGTGTGCTGCACTTACGTATTTAGTATGCCTAAAGCACTTTAATTAAAGACCTGATCTTTATTTTATCTATATTAATATAAAGTTATTTTCTTCCATTTTAGGCATCAGTACTATTTCTTTAATCCAAAAGATTTTCTGAAAATAACTAAGTTTTACAGAATATCTGTAGAAGAATGCTGGGTGAAAACATCTGGTTTTTTACCCTTCTATGCAGCAACTGCTTGAGGATGACCTATGGTCATGCATACAGGACTTATTACAGGATTTTACTTTAATAAAGTAACAGCAGTGTGGGCTGCCCAGCATATCTCCCCATTTCCTTTGGAGAGGTGTGGTGTATTTCTTGGGGGGTTAAGTGTCTACAGCTTCTCCAGAGCCCAGAGTTTTAACACTGTCATCATATTTGGTAGTCACTTGGGCCACCAGTAAGAGTATCTGTGCTGTCACTCATCATTACTCTCAGCATTTCCATCTCCTGCGCTCTTACCAGTGCAAGCTCCTATGAGCATTAATAATGTCCTTCATTATACAAGTCACTCAGATATTGCAGCAATAAGCAAGGGCTGCTACCTGGTGCCAATAGGGTGGTAAAAAAACCCCCAAGTTCAGCATCCATATGATAAATTGCCCCCCCCCCAAAAAAAATTAACAGAGGCAGCTTTCATATAAAGAAGAAAGGAAACAGCTGAAGAAACCACATAAAAAATTAATTTCAAAATAGCACAGCAGTGGGAAGATAGGAAGAGCTTTTCCCACCTCTTTGAAAGCCCTACAGGAAAGAAAAAAAGACCTGTCAGGCCTCTGTGTGGGTACAGTGAGGTCCCTGACAGACCCTTGCTTGAACTGGGAAGCGGGGAATGAAGACAGGACAGTGGGGACAGGATAAAGAGCACTATCTTACCACCCGGGGGGCTGTCACAGACTGAGGGACTGGGGCAGGTGGCATGAGCACAAACCCCTGCCAGCCAGGCTGGGATGGCAGTGGCAGGGGTGATGGGAGCAGGCATGTGTTCTCCACTAAAAACAAAACTAAGGCGCTGGCCTGGCCTGAAGGATAATTTTAGTGCAGAGGGTGAAACCCTACCCTCTCCTTCAGCATGACATGGGCTGTGGCGTAGAGCTGGCAACTCAGCTGCTGCTGTTTCAGGAACGTCAAAGCTGTTTATCAGTGCTGGGCAAGCGTGGGAAAAACCTTAGCGGGGAGCGGGGTGAGCTCAGCAGGCTTTCCTTGCATTTCTTCTCCTTTCCTTTTGCTCACGAGTCCCTTTGCCTGGCGTCAACAAAGCCTGAGCTGAGCCCAGTAAAAGGTGACGGGCAGGTGCTGAGCGCATGAGCAACACCCCCATGCACTGAGTAAGCATGCAGGGGTGCAAAGGGCAACCCCAGACATGTAACACTCAGGTGTAATTTTATTACACATTGGTAAGGCAAAGGCTGGGAACCCTCTATGACATTTGTGCTACTGCACAAATGCCTCCAGGCCTCTGTGGGCTCCACTGGCTGAGGCAGTGATTTTGGCCCAGAGCTAACACAGTCAGGAAGGCAAGAGCAGGTGGAAAGCAGAATTACTGTTCCCACTTTGCAGAGCAGTAAAGAAAGGAGTCTGAAGCAGGTTCCTGTGGACATAGTGGTGAGAAGAGTAATTTTTCAGTGTTCAGAAGCAGCAGGCAGCATCCTTTTAAAGGCAAGTATACTCCTGTAGGTAAACAGGCAGGTCATCAGTCACACACTCATGCCTGCAAAATGTGCACTGCTGGGCTATTTGTCTTTGTTTCAAACAAAATATCATACCATAAATATGTGCATCATTTAATTCAGTATGCAGTTTCAGGCTCTTTGCTGAAATAGCCAAATCAAACCACATGGATCTTTACCCTGGAGAGTGTTAAACCAGTAAGCTCTCAAATTAGTGTTTGGAAATTTACTCTAACATCTTCTTAGCAGCATTTCATCATTCTTATCCCACATTTCTGACAGTTTTCTGGGATTGCCCATTGGATCATAAGCTTTTCTTCCTCTTCCCTTACCAAACAGTAAATGCTCAGAAGTGTTTAAAAAGCCTTCCAAGCTTGCTTCATTTGTTCCTATGCCTGAGCGCAGATGTGGAGATTGAATCTGCATGCGTCTGAGCCCATACTGTACATTCAGCCTCCTGGAACGGTAGCTGATGGAGACCTCTGGATCTTTACAGTCAGAGACCTCTGTCTATTTGTGTGGGTGCTCTTTTGAAATCTTTATTCCTCACGGCTAGGGAGAAAGCAACTAGCTGATGATCTCCTGATGTGCCTTTCTGTCATTTGGGAATGTCCTGCAGTTTGCCTCCATCACCAGTTTGTGGCCAAGGATATAGGAAATGCAGGATGTGATGCAACAGCCTTGTGGAAACTTCTCATCAATTGGTATTTTGGGACACCAGAAATTGCACCTGAGCCAACGCTGGTCTTTCTGTTGGACCATCTACACGTAGTTCAGCATATCTTGCTCACATTTTGTTATGGCTGGCACTGCTCTTGAACTTGACATGGGACAGCTGGCAAAACTAAAGAGATCAAATCTAGCTCAGATCCATCAGGTATTTAGGTGCTGAACTCCTGCTGAAAAACATGCAAGTGAGGGTTGTAAACACTCTTTTGGAAGTGGACTTTACTGACATTAGGAAGTAAAGGGTGGTGGGAAAAGACATGCAAGATTACAAGGAGTAAGTGTGAACACTAGAATGAAATGAACTTCGAGGTGAGAAACAGACTAATTGTGTTAGTGTCCCAAAATGAGAATACTGTATTGTTTAGAGATTTCTTGACTAAAACTTGCTTTGACTATGGATTATCTTGTTTCTTCCTACATTCTACATAAAAGTTGGCATGCCCTGGTAAATGGCACCACTTCCATGGTGTGCAGCATGGATTCAGGCAGCAAAATATGTCCCTAATACTTGAGTTTAAGCAAACTGTTAAAATAGGAACGGAACTAAATGCCCAGATCTCCTCCCCAAACTCAAACTAAACCTTTCTTTGAGGTTCAGGAATGTTTGGTTAACTCTAAATAAAACAATGCTATGTTTCTACACATCCTGCTTTCAGCAAAGCCTCCAAGCAGAAACATAAAAATATAGCAGACAGATCTCTGTTTGCACTATTTCTGGCCCAGCTGAAACCAGGAAACACTGGAAATCTCACAAAATCAGCTTTGTCTCAGAGGCTATCCAGCTCCCAGTTTCTGTCACTGTTATCCTGCAGAATACAATCTAACTCATGTACATACCAATTTATTATTAATTTTCCACCAAATAACTATGATAAACAAATTTCCCAGACTATCAGACACATGAAACTCCCATTTTTACTCAATTATGGTGGCATACTATACAGCTACCTTAAATTCTTTTTATCCTCATTCCTATTGAGTCATTGGCATAGTTGCATAAAGACAAAATGTCTCTTGTGGTACATGACAACAAACCAAAGCAAATCATAACAAAGATAACAAACCAGGCATACGCACATTGTCCTTCATATTCAGTCCGCGGCTAATTTAAAATACGTAATCCTAAATTTTGTTGTTTGACATCTCTTTGACAACTCTCTTTATTGAATGTGTAGAGCATAAACATGAAGACAACAGCATTGTTTTAGAGGTACATATTTAGGCATATAAAATTGCCCTGTATGTCACAGCAAAATTTTTAAAGCACTTTTGAGTACCAGAATTTTGCAAATTTATATTTAAAGGAACATTTAATGTTATTGCTAGAAATTATATCACTGTCAGCAAAACATAATACAAACACTCGGATTACCCAGCTACCTGCTCAACCGCAACAAAGCCATCCAAAAGGATACAGTACCACATCTTCATGTTTGCTAGCTAGATTTATTATATTTTCCAGATTCTAACAAGACACATATTAAGAAATGCATGTTAATCATTGTCCTAATGAGAACAATATGCAGTTAGCATTTAGGTTGACACAAAAAATACAGAAGGCAAGTACAGAATAAATGCACTCTAAATTCAAGGAAATCCAATCCTTCTTTCCACTAGCATGTTTCAGTGAACTGGCCCTGTACAAGAGAAATTTTTTAATGAACTAGCTAAATTTCAACCCACATGTATATGTGCTTTCATTAGGCACGGGGCAAAGTAAAATGCCATTCTAACCACAACTCTGAAAGTAAAATAACCACTGTCCCACTTGCTTACGCACAAAAAGCTATGACCATATAAAGCACCAAAAGCCAGCCCAGCATCTCTCTTTCAGAGACACTGAACTTCCCAGTGTTGCACTGTTTACAGCCAGAGAACTTCTGGAGCAAACAACTACCCAAAATGTATAAGAGGACAAGAATCTGTCTTTAAATTTATTTGCAAATAATAAATAAAATGCATGTCTTACAGAATAAATCAATTAATTTCATTCAGTAAAAGTGCAAAACCCATCACTATTCCAGACTTCTGGGAGCCTGAAGGCACATGAAAGTTTGGTTTGAATTTTCTAACGCAAAATATGTGTGCCTCCTGTACTTTTTTGGCTAGTTGCACTTAACACCAGAAAAGGGTGTGGAGATAATAAGATTTTAGATGCTGATGAAACAGCAAACAAAGCAGGCATCAATGCAGTGGATGCAAAAGAAAGCAAGATTGTCATGTCCGTTTAGATTGCAGTGCCTTGCTGCCACACTGCACAGAGGTCATCTAAAACCTCTCCCTCCCATTCCTCTCTCCCACCTCCCTACGCAGGTGACACACCTCCGTTTTTCACTCCATCCAGACCACAGGGCACTGTGTGAAATATGATTCTGCCTTTACTAACTATGCACTAAGAATGGCCTTTTTTCACATCTACCTGGAATTATAAAGCTGTTTCTACACTCTGAAGAAAGACTTTTGAAAACAGCTACTAAATATTAAAGTCATTTAGAGTACAATACCTTTTAATGTTAAAGCCAGTATTGCCTTGAAAAGTGAGTGCTGAAGCAAAATATGACTGAAAAATATCTCATCGCATCCTACTGGAACCCTTCCCCAAAAATGTAGTAAATGAATGAAAACTTTGGCTTACTGTTTTTGGAGGTGTACCCCTCCCTCCTTCCCTTCCTTTCACACCATTGTCCCAAGAAACAGAAAAGTATTTTTTGCATGTCAGCTAGAATTACATGAATAAAGCTACTCCAGTTTCTTTTTAGAAAGAACAAAAATAAGCTTGAAAATTAGACTACCAGATTCCTGAAGAGTAGAAAGAAAAAAAACCCCAAACAAACAGAACACAAAGCAAAGTAAAACCAAAAGAATAAATTTCCACAATTTTGATGTATATTGTTTAAAACAGTATTTTTCACTTAGGGATGAGGTTTTACTCAGCTCATGTTTCCCCTCAAGTCCCCAGAAGTGACAATAACATCTAGCTTTTCCTTCTAGACATTACCTGTATTGCAGTCTGCTTATGCTTTGTTCTCTCGAAAAAAATAAATAACGAAACCTTTGCAAAAGGAAAATCAACTACAGCTTAAATAAATAGTATCTAGAAATATTATCTTAGTGGTAGCTATATAATACTGCAAGTGCATCACTGAACAGATTAATGTGATTGAAAGAGATTTTTTGTGTTATATATTTCACTTAGTTGTATGTTTATGTTCTCTTCCAAGTGAAAACTTACAAATTCCCAAAAGAGCAACAATTAGCTTGAAAAATCAGGTTAGACATTGGCAGCTGACTATTAAGGACCATCCTCTCGGCTAATATGTGTTTGCCCAGGTCAGCCAGTGTCCATAATCAGCATTCATCTTTCATCCTTGTCAGCTGGGCTGTCTGGCAAGTGCTTGGTGGGGTAAAGACCGAGGGGTCAGCAATGCCCAGATGTATATCAAAGAAGCGAGTGGAGGTTGTCACGCTGTAATTCTTCGTGTAGGTTTCCTGAACTGGGTAACAGTCTTTGACGGTGTAAACGCCGACCCACGATTCCACTGCAATAAAACAGAAATGTACTGCTTTAGGTGACAGGAATGAGCTCATGTGTCATGATGATGTCAATCAAAATAAAAGGCCACTCCTGAAGCCAGGCCTATAGGCTGAAACTGCCCATAGTTCCATCCCTATGCATGGCAACACCAAGAAAGGCTACAAAACTGGGGTAATTTGGACACCGCAATGATCTCAAACCTGAACATGTTGGTGTCAAGCACACTTCAAATCATGAAAACATCATGGCATCAGTATGTCACCTTTCAAGTATACCTCTACTGAAGGACTCTTTTGTTTAGTTCCAAATTTAGTTATGTTCTGCGCAAGTCTAATTTCTCTCACTTCTCATGCCCCTTTCATGTCGGCAGTTACTTGCTTCACTAGTGAAGCAACGAAATGCTTTCTTTATCCAGAAGGCAAATTTTAGTGCCATCAGGTTGGGTAGCACTGCAACCTTTCACCTTATACTCTGCTTCTGACAAGCTGAAAAGTGTGATTACTGAAAACCTGTGGTCCATTTCACAATGGCTTTCAACACAGCCTTTGACACTCTAAAACACTTAGTTCCCCCAACTGTGTAGGACATCTGATTCCTTCCCATGCACAGGAAGTTCTGCACTCACCTACCTAGGGAAGCATTTGTCCTCTGCTGTGCTGGGGACTTCTCTGCACCACAACTGACAGCCTGCTTCTACAACTGTTGGTCCCCTATAATCTCACATTGATGATAGCACAATTTTAATCCGAATAAATTAGACTTTGTTTCATTTTTTTTCATCTGTCTCAAGCATAGAGAGTTTGTCTCATTAGAAGAGGAACATTTTCAAATACAACTCCAGTGCCTCAATGTCTTCTTTTAACTCACTTCTGCGGTTTAACATCATCTATTGAGATTGTCATTATTGTGTTATTTTTTTAAAATTCCTATTCTTTTCAAACACTCTACTGTTGTAATAGTTATTTCAAGACTACACTCAATGCTGATCTCCTCTAGGTGCGTGATGTAGCAAGTCTGTCCCTTTTTGGACTTCAGTTTTATTTCACAAAGTGTTAATCTCAGAGGTGTTCCCTTGTTATCTTTCCCCTTGTTCTCTGCCATCACCTCTACTTTCACTATGTTATTTTGGTAGTGGCAGCAATACTGTTGAGGTGGCTTCCTTTGAGTACCCTTCACTTTTATATCTCTTTTATTAATCCCACCCACATTATCTGTGATCACTCTTCAGCCCTTCCATCATACTTCACTTCGTCTCGTTGTTTTATGCATTTCAGATCCCTTGATAGAAACTGATGATGTTAAAATTACCTACTATGATCATAAATCAGTTCCTCTGAGGGATGCCTGGAACAAATTCTTCTAGTCCCAAGGAAGCTTATTTTCTCTCACTCAGCAGCAATCACACACTTATTTTCTGCCCTTCCAGTATTGTATCATATGCTGTACCACAATCACATTACTAGAAAAAGAAAAGTTGGGACATGAAACACACACCCTTTCTAAAGAAAGGGTGGCAAGCTGAGCAAAATTTGAACATATCTCTCCAGAGCATGTTAATATACCAAAAAACTTTCTGACCTCAATGAATCTGGTTTTGAATATACAAAAATGGATTAATCTTTTATTCAACAAGTCTTCTATCAGAATTTTGAATAAAAAGTCATGGTAAAATATGATGCTACCAAGGTAGCCTATATCTCCCCTGAAACCTTTATAATTTAAACAGAAATATAAAATCCAAGCCAATATTAGCTAAAAGGTAGATAGACAACTTCAAGACATTATTTTGATGAATTATCATACAGAAAAGCACTGGAGATACAAAATAATACAGGATAAAAAAATCACACCTAATTACTGAATGTATCCACATATTAAGTTTCATAAAAGTTCCAAAAATATCAGATCTGAAAAACAAAAATTCTTGGAGTAAGTGATAATTCACCTCTTGTAGAATACCAGAGGATATGTTGACTGAGTTACAGAGGTCTAATGATCTTATCCTTCATTCTCTACTTCATTTTTTCTAATTTTATTCAAGAAAGAAATATTTTCCTCTGGCTAAATGCTCAGCTTCGCAACTAGCTTATATATTAGATGTCTATAACCATAAGTATTGCATCAGCTGAATAGCGGAATATATTTTTCATGGGGTTTTAAAATTATTTTTATAGTTGTCTGGGTCATCAATAAACCATAGATGAAATGAAACCAATGCGCTAACAAATTGCTATGGGTTCAAAACCTAACATACCTAATATACCATAGCCTGGAAAATTCAGCCTACTCTCTTTTATGATGCAGGTGTTCAGCTGCCAAGTGCAGAACTAAGCCTTGAGAGCAGATATTTCTTACTAGTATAGTGGATAAGAAAATTTGGGCACATATTAAGGATGTCAATGGTAGCAGAACCATGTGACTGACACCTACTTTGTTTCTATTATGCAGACTCTAGTTTGAGTGTGTGTGTCCCTAATTATAGTACCAATTCTTCTCTAGGTAAATTTTGGATACAGACTGCCAGATTCAGACACAAAATGGTGCTGTTCCATGCCAAAATCTGTATGATATGAACTACAATACAATCAAGTCCCTTGGACATAATTAGTCCTGCTGAGATATGGAACATTTTCTCATATAAAATTCATTGTTAATAAAATTACATGCTGTGCACAGGGCATTTTTATTATTTCTTCCAGAAAACTTTACAGAAATAGGGAAAGCTGAGGTGAAACAGGAATAATTTTATTTTTCTCTGGGCAGCAGTGATGTTGATTATTATTAAGATAAAACAAGAGCATGCACATACATTTCCTGGCTGGTTTTCTGTCAGACCATTCCTGTACCATAATTTCATCTCCAGGTCCCCCAATGTAGTACTGATCTTCGTAAGTTGAATTGGCAGGAATATCATATGGATCCCATGGCTCTGTCAGAGCAATCTTCGAGCAAAGCTTTGTAACTTGTTCAATCTGAAACATCACTCCATCTTTGTAGAGCAGTATATACTCAAAGAATCTGAAACATTAGGAAAAATCAGTTAATATACATAGCCTTTTTTTATACTAAGCAGGAGCATTGCTGATACGTAAGCTTGCCTTTGACTTCTTAGTATAAGAACATTTTCACTTGCATTAAACTTTGCCAAACTTGGAGAAATGCTAACCAGTTGGGCTGAAATTTCCCATGCTGAAAGTTTGTCTCAGCTGACTTTCCAAAATAAATAAGTCAGGCTGAACTGGTTCAGCCATTTCTGAGAACAACAGAACAACTTTTCTGAGAACAACTGAGAGAAAAAACATGTTATTATTTCTAGGTTTTGTTTTGTTTTTTAATGATTGTTTCATTAAAAAGCTCTAGTGCCTCCATGTTTCGGAGAAAGGACTTAAAATTTTGGCAGGGGAAAGGTTTTTATTAAAAGTTGCCCAGATTTGGCTAAGTTATAAGCCGTTGAAAAAATCTGCTTGCATAGGCTGGATAGATTCATTTCTCCATGAATGTGGTAGAGCCTTTTTCTGTGCTGGTTAGATGTGGTATCTGCCATCCTCACAGATGCTCCTCCATGGCAACCAATGTAGCTTAAGTGGAACATGCCAGTAAAGGGGGAAGTACATGCTCCCTAGAGCAGAACTGAGAAGCTCTCCCTCCTAATGGCACAGTTTCTCTCTGGAAGCCACCAGACTCAAGAATCAGTAAAAGGAGAAAGCAGAGGAACAAAAAAGTAAGGTGGAGATAAGGAGAAGTGTGGAGTCAATGAGCTTGAGAGGCCAGAAGGTGAGGTCAACAAAATGGATAGTTAATAAGGACTTTAAAACAATGTTCTATCAAGTCTGAAGGGACCAGGTCATGCTCTGAGGAGAGAGCATTTTCATGGACACTTTCATCTAGTCTACCATGAACACTGTGGCTTTGCTTCCATATCTTTGAAAAGGACGTGGTATGATCCTTACCTTCCAAATAGGGACAGAAACAGAGAGAAAAAGAAATCAAAATTATCGGAAGTATCAGCTGATTTTGAATACTCAACTAGAAACACTGGAAGCCTAACTTCTCCAGGGTGCTTTGCATTACCAGTCGGAAGTTGTTTGAAGTGCATCTCAAAGCATCCTCATGCATGCTCTGCACCTTTTGCAAAGGACTGATGGATGTCACTTTCCAAACCCTCCAAAAATGTGCACTCACTGTTAGAGGCTTTCTGTGAATATTACGGCTCAAGTATTTGGCTACAACCTACTGTTATGCAGTGACTCTAGAAAAAAGGAAGGGAGTAGCTTCACCTTGCCCTCTGTAATACTCTCTTTCTACCTGTAATTCCTTGCTTCGGTCATAATGCTGCCTCCATTTCCTACTAATTGTCTTGGATGTCTTTTGACACAGGCATCTTCCACATCCCGAACCTGATGCTAGCCCCTAACACTATTCATCCTGTGCCGTCAGCAGGATGGGAAGCTGGTAGAGAACATTGCATAATCCATGTAATTGAAGAGATGATACACAAAACCAAGATGGGACCCTACTCTGTGCTATTTCTCAACTCCTGCATGTTTCTCTTTGTAGTCCTCACATTCTTTTGGGGAGGCTGCAAAGTTTACATAAAATAGGGATGAAAACAAAACAATTTATGGTTTTAATTTTTGTACTACGCAATTGCATCAGACAGGAAACACCTCGCCCACCACTGACACGGTGGCATTTAAAGGTTGCAGTATGAGAAGGGTCTAAGAATGGTTAAAAGCATCTAAGCAACATTCCCATCATTTCTTGATAAGATCATTTATCCAGCACATGTTGAAACATAGGCAGGCTAAATGGCATTAGCCACACTGAACACTGATGAAGAATAAAAGGGGACAAGGAAGCTGACATGAGGTAAACTTGGGTCCATCTCTCACAAATGACCTTGCACAACATGGGAGGTAGCTCATCCCACTTTCTGAGGGAGTCAGTCACTGGGAACTTCCCCCAAATTAACAAGATACACAAAGAGGCTGACAAACTGCAAGACTATATATTAGCTTCTTTATGGTAAATTGTTCTCCTGCCCGTATCTTTAAAATACTTTAAAATAATAATTTAATTTTTTTAAAAATTTTTTTTAACCACCCAAGTCCTAAGTATACTGCCTCTATTTATTTTAGGTGCCTGAGAATTCATTGGTTTTTTGAGATAAACACAAAGTCCTCAAAATAGGTCTTGGCAAAGAAACAGGAGAGGAAATTATTTTTAATTAGTTTGGGGGTTTCTTTCAGAAAAAAAGTAACATATTTGCAGCCTGTGCCCACCTCTAACATTATTTTAAAAATAATTTTATTATTTTAATTGTAACTTCAAGAAAGCCCCAACCTGAAACCAGGTACCTCAACTATGCACCTTGAAACAGATTTGAAGAATTTAGCTTGGATAAAATATCCTATTTGCCTGACTGAGATTATTTCCCTTCCTTTCCTATCCTATTACACCCTCCCTATTCTATGCCTCACATCCTTGTACACTATGCTTTTAATGGTCTCATGATCTGAAGTACTCCCTTTGTCTGTGCCTGAAAATGGATAAATTCCAGCATTTAAACCCATACACACATTTTTGCTCCTATGCTTTAAAGAATTTCTTAACACTGGACCACATCCTGCACAAATAATTCCATTGACTTTGCTGGAAGTAATCATGTCACACAGGTGGGATACATGCTGCATTCAGTACTTTCTTCTCCTGAGCTAAGGAAAGTATTTTTCTGAATAAGAGACCAACTGTGTTCAATGCAAAGCCAGAGTACCATTCGCACAAAAGCAAGAGGTGAAGCACTTGTGTTGAGGAAATACTGCAAGGAGTGGGTGTGCATTCAAACACTGTCTTACCTCTGAAATTCCTCCTGAAATTTGGGGAGATAGTCAGAGGTGCCTCTCAGGAGACAGCCCAGATAACACAGAGACACTGATAGAGGCCTGAACCAATAAACTTATCTGTTGACTTGTCTTCCTAGTGGGTTACTGTTCTGCATGTTATTAATGCAATCCAAAACAATGAATTATTTTTCAAAATTTGTCAGAAAAAAGTCATTAGTCTCAAGATCATCCTACCAACTTCTTTTCAGGTGCTCAGTCTGCAACGAGCCCTGTGTCCTGTGCTGGGTCTCTCCCAGTCCTGAAGCATGCTAGCCTGCCCACCACCTAACACATCCACGTGCCTCCTAGAGTTTTCTTCTGCACTTCCAAAGGCTTCCTCATGAGCAACAAACCTAGAAGAAAGGAGCCACTTGCTGTCCAATTGCCATTGTAGTGACTCAGAGGAGCAGAGGTTGTGACAGTGGCATGGCAAGACCCATGTGATATTCTGCAGAACATCAGACAAGGTCACTTTCTAGAAAGAAACAAAATAATGGTCTGAGACTGAGATTGGGTAAAAGAAATTTCCTTGTGTGCTAAATCTGGCTCTGCATCATTTTGCTCTGCGGCTTTGGACAAACAACTTACAGTACAAGAGCCTTAAAATGCTGTTCTTGTTGGGTTTTTTTGATTACTGTAGTACTGGAGAGATAAATCATCAATCACAAACCAGTTGTGTAAGGCATTGTATTAACAAAGAACAAAACCACAAATCCTGTTCCAAAAAACAAAGAACAATGGTTTTTGAAAAACAGACTTTCCTTTCCTGCAAAGACATATGGGGTTTCATGTATCTATGGCTTTAACCTGTCAATTCAATTTTCTCAGCTGCAGCTATTGTAAACTTAAAATTCTCACTCATGATAGTCAGGAGTTATATTACCTAGTATTATAAAGCAATTGAAAAATGGAAGCAAAATTTTATGTATTATTTGTACCTGAGATACTGTATTACTCGGCAGGAAACTGTATTTGCTATTTAGGATCTCAAGATGAGATCACTGCAATTATTTCCAAGCTAACTTTTCTTTCTCTTTTGAGATTAATTGAAAGCTTGAAGCATCTTACTGCCTTTGTGGTACTACTTAATTCTCTGCTGGTTCTGTCTGTAAAAAGGCATTTTTAAATTATTTGAAAGAAGCTAGAAATATATCTAAGTAGAATAAATTTCACTAAAATATTCCAAACAAATTCTCTGTTCTATTGTGCATGGACAGATACATCCAGATACGTAATTCTTGACTTATCTTGTATCCTCTTGATAAAACACCCCACAACAATACCACTATTTTTTACACGTTTCTTACTGAAGATGTGCTGGGAGAATGAGAACCTTTACTAGAAGTGTGACTATAACCTCATCTTCTCAGGTCCTTAGATTAAGAATATTTCAAGGGAGCAAAGCTGCCAAGCAGACATGCAGACAGTTGATAAACACTCATCAGGTCAAGAACATTCATCTGCTCTGGCAAGCTCACTTCAAAATGGAGAAGCATTCGTTTTTCAGTATATTTCTGGGAACTCCCTTCCTCTTTCCCATGAAGTTTTCGGTAATTTCAGACTTGTGTTTTTCTTCTGGTGTATCAGACCTCAACAACAACAGTAATTTACCATATTTGATCTCACATGTTTGGCAGTGGTGCAGGAGTATGGTATATTGTACAAATACAGTACTGTGCAAATACATGTGACAGTAAATGTAATCTGATATTGTGTAAAAGCAATATTTTTTATTCTGACTTAAATCACTCATAGATTGTAAAGGCTTTTTTTTAATTTTCAAGGCAATCAAGCCCGCTGTATCAGCTATCTAATTAGCAACATATATGAGGAACTTTGCCAGCACTACCAGTTTCTGAAGCAGAGAGAATTAGGCAATTTAAATCCTGTTAATTATGAAGTTTGTGCAGAAAGAAAGTCTTAAATACAGCAATCAAACACTGCAAAGTCAAAGCTACATCAGCTAACAGATGACATATTTTTGTGACTTTAAGTATGAAACTGAATAAAAAAAAATATGTAATTTCTTATTATTATTTTAATTGTTTCCCCATAAATTAGATTAGCTACTTTGGCAAATTCTAAAGGAAATTAAGTTCTTTAGCAAGAATGCTGTTTCCCCTGCTGTCCCTTTTT